ACTTATAAGTTTTACTGCCATGTATGCACACTGGTCACTAATCACACGCCAATATTATAGGTATAACTGATATCCTATGTCAGAGGCGATCTTCCAGATGGGCCTTTACAGGCCTCAGCCATGTAGCTATAGATGTTGGCTCCCAACACTCTTAGTCTTTACGATGTAATAAAGGCTCCAAAGATGAAATGCTAATTTTAATTTTTAATTGTCATTTTAAATTTCAAATTCTACATTAGAAGTATTTGTTTAATGTGTTTATAGGCTCTCTTTAGAGAGGCTGAAAATCAAAGCTAGACATGCAGGCTTGCGTACAGATAGATGTCCATCTCTCTATAACTAAAGTGTCTCTACCTCATTTATGCCCACAAAACCCTTGAGATACCTATATTCTGTGTCATTAGTACAATCTTGATTTGGAGACACACTGAGACACCACCCAGATGTCACTAGAGGATGCTATAAAATTTTAAATGTTCTAATTCAATCATTTTAATTCAATCGGTTTGCATTTAAAATACATATAGCATATGAATATATATGTGTGTATGTATACACACATATACCCATGTACATACAGGTGATGTTGATTTCCTCTAGAATTGAATGAGACTATGGGAGATGAGAGATCTCTGAAAAGTGAAAATTTATCTCAGATTACTCCAAAAACTCAGTTCTTCTGATCTTTCTCTAAGTAATAGCACTAAACATGTGATTAGGCATTTTGTTAGGCCAGAGACAGGACAATTACTGACTGTGCTGTGTATCTATATGGCTTTACATTTATTTGAAATATCAGAAAAGAAGAAATTGGACTATTTTCACTATTTGACATTAGCAATGGAAAGAAAAGAGAAGTTGGACATTTCTAAAACAGGTTAAATAGAGATAGGATGCTATCTAATTCTTTCCCGGATAACCCTGCAGCAATACCACAGCATTTAAACAAACTTGCTCAAGAGAATAATATCTACATATAACTCAGCAATTTAATAATTTTCCAAGTAAAATTTAAGGGAAATTGTATCATTTCCCTTATAGTAACAACTAAATTAACACTCACAAGCACAATATACACCCAAGAAGTAGAAACAGTATGAACTATTTTACCAGCTATTATTCTTAATTGTCCTTCCCTCCCTGCACATTCTCTACATAATATATGAAATCAACAACCCTTCTCTAACTGTCAAAACTGTAGGTCACCAATGATACTGAAGCATCAAAAAGTATTAATTGAACATCAATTGTGTGCCTTGCATTATGGTGAATCGGAGGAAACAAAACTAGATAAGCCTTTGCCCTCAAGCAGTAAGAGATACAAACAAGGAAACAAGTAATTATAGTATAATGTGTGCTTTTTTTTTTTTTTTTTTTGAATTGAAGTCTCATTCTGTCACCCAGACTGGAGTGCAGTGGCATGCTTCCGCCACTGCAGCCTCGACCTGCTGGGCTCCAGCGATCCTTCCACTCAGCCTTCCAAGTAGCTGAAACTACAGGCACGTGC